GGATTTTTCCAATGCAAGAGAAATTTGAAGTTTTAAATATTTTCATGTTGTTTAAAAATCTTGTTGAAAATCAAATGTCTCACACTATAAAAACTCTTAGATCTGACGGAGGTACCGAGTATTGCAATCGTTCTTTTCAGCAGTTCTTGCAAGCTCATGGCATTGTACATCAACGATCATGCCCGTACAGGCCAGAACAGAATGGAGTAGCAGAAAGAAAGCACCGGCATATCATCGAAACCACCAGAACTCTTCTGCTTCAAGCTTTGGTTCCCTACATTCACTGGACCGAAGCTGTTCTTTCCTCTGTCTACTTGATTAACAGGTTGCCTTCTCCTACCACTAACAATATTTCTCTGTTTGAAATTATACATAAAACAACACCGACTTACAATCACCTACGAATCTTTGGATGCTAAATGCTTCCCTCTCACACCACCTCACTCTCGTCATATGTTTCAACCAAAAGATAAATCATGCGTGTCCTTAGGATACTTGGAGACATATAAAGGTTACAAATGCATGTATATTGCCACTAACAAAATCACATTCTCTAGACATGTTTTGTTTTATAAATGAAATGTTGTGTGTACCCAAATGGCAGTTACCCGCACAACTACACCTATTTCAAAATACCCCTGCATATGCACCGTAATTTATATACACATAAGTACATTAAAGGGGTAAATGCAATCATGACCCGCATGGGCCCCAGCGAGCATTTTATTGGTACACACATTACACCTAGGGATGCTGCGTGGGTCGATAAGTGAATTCAAGTTCGAACTCGATCCTTCTATACGGATTAATAAGAGTCGACCGAGTTCAAACATTCAAACAAATACACAGTCAAGGCAACCAGTATATTTGTTTTAATACATTCATATTATGTCTTCAAGGCCTATAATCAAGAGAATTCACTAATGAGGACATAAAGTCTACGAAACCCGATCCTCCTAAACAGATAAATAGGAGTAGATAGGGTTCGAACCATCAGATAAATATGTGGTCACGAAGTTGACTAAAATATTTATTTTATACATTCATATTAGGCCTTCAAGACCTTTAACAAAGAAAATTCCCAAATAAAGGCATGAAGCCCGAGAAACTCGATCTTCTATTGATAACTCGACAGAGTTGACAAGGTTCAAAATATAAATATTTTCAAATGACCCAAAACACCCCGATGATGGCCGTGTTGAATGCAGATCTTAACCGGAGGGGTTAATTTCAAATATCTTCAAAATGTCACTCCATAAAATCCAAGCCCCAAAATAAAAAATGTTTAAAATTGAAATCAAATCATTAACCACTTAAAATAAAATCCATCCACCCTCCGCAATAGTTTGCCGGGAATGACAAATTAAAATTTACTTTAGCTCACATAAAGCTAACACCTAGTCAAAAATATCACTATGATCCATTCTTAAACAGTCTCCTGCCAATAAAGATGTGGTACGTGTCCTATAACCGTCAGTTTTTCTGGCAAATGGCGCCACAGGATAAACAATTATGACCCGGGGCCCTCTGAACCAAGTAGTTTTTTTCGCCAAATGGCACCATAAAATACTGGTTATGGCCAGAGCCGATACGATCCTTAATGACATCAAATTATTGAGATATGAATCAATAGGATATGATCAATAGGGAACAAAGATCTCTAGCTAAGGAGGATTCAAATTTGTCCCCTTAGACAAATATTCACCCTGGATCTACAAGGACCCCTTAGACGAAGCAACCCATGACTGCCGATAAGGATCCTTTTGTCAGGTTGGGTCGACTATCTCCTCTGACTAAGTAGATCAGGGACCATGATGGCCCGGGACGACAAAACCATGGGATCTTGATCGGGTCTATCATCCATTCCCCCACCATACGCTTTAAGTCCAAGATGGTGAAATTTTTATTTTTAAATATCAATCCTTTCAAATCCCAAAACCCATTGCTGCTACTATATGCTAAATACAACATATCTACGGATATGATGTATTCATTGACGACTAGCCTTAATCGAAAGTTCTCTCGTGATCGGGAGGGATAATTAACTATAGGGGCTTGCGCCTATAGGAAACCAAAACTCAGATCATAAAGTCCTCATAAAATGAGGGTGAAATCTCTGGGTATTGTCTTATCTACAAACCTATCTTCCTTCCAAAATTTACACCGGAACTTAATTCCGTTAAAACTCTCTCGCTAAAAAGTAAAAGCATATCAGTGTGGAAGGAGGCCAGGGACAAATTTTTGGAGCCCACACCCGAACACATTTGCAAACTACTCAAATCCATCTATGGTCTAAAACAATCCCCATGACAATGGTTTCACAAACTTACTGACTTGTTATAGCTTCTCGGATTCAAATTTACCAAAGACGATCCCTCTTTACTTCTATACCATCAAGACAACATTCATATACTTGTACTGATATATGTATATGATATTCTTATTATAGGATCCAACCAAAACAAAATCAATTTGATTCTTCAACAACTGAATTCCAAATTAAGTCTCAAACAACTGGGAACATCTATCTATTCCTCGACATTCAAGTCACGAAAACTTTGGCCGCCTACTTCCTGTCCCAACAACACTATGCACATCAACTAATTCAAACAACCGGTTTCTCCAAGTGCAAACCAGCTCCCACACCCATATCACCACAACGAACCAAAGGTAAGACCGACAACACTCCCTTTTTCGATCCTCAATTTTTTAGGAAACTTGCAGGCTCTCTCCAATACCTATCCATTATAAGACCGGACATCACCTTCACCACAAACTCTATCTTCCAACACATGCACCAACCAACCAACAATGATTTCAAATAACTCAAACAGTTGCTAAGGTACATTCAAGGCACGATCAACTTCGGCACCCCCATCTCTTTCGATGATCTACAATTGCCAACCTATGCGGACGCCGACTGGGTAGCGGACACTGCTGACATAAAATCTACATTCGGTTTCTGCACCTTCCTCAACACCAATCTCATTTTCTGGACCGTCAAAAAGCAAGTTACATTAGCCAAATCTTCTACATAAGCAAAATACCGATCCATCTCGTCAACCACATTTGACGTTCTCTGACTCTGTCGCCTCCTCGCTGAACTGCACATTCAGCAACACGCTCCGACAAAAATCTACTGCGACAACACCTCCGCTATAGTGCTAGCCAACAATCCCTTCTTCCATGCGTGGACAAAGCACATCGTAATCGACAACCATTTCATAAGTGGACACATCAAGAATGGAGAAATCAACATATCTCACATCAGCACAACAGACCATATAGCAAACATCCTTACCAAACCTATGTCTGTCAATCAGTTCAACAATCTCTGAATTAAACATTCGCTCTTCGAATGATTAATTTGAGGGGGGACTGTTAGAACACTCTACACGTCAGCACTACATTTATTGGCTTTATTAATAAATGCTGACGTGTCTTCATTCCTTTCTTGAATTCTTGTATTACAAACTCTATATATGGTTATGTACGCTATTGTTTACTCAGGGAAAATGAATTTAGCTTTAGTCTGTTTCTTCTCCATTTAGTCTTGTCTCTTTCTCGCATCTTCTTTCTGCTTCAAGATCTCCAAGCCTCTCTTTGGCAAAGATCTTTCAGGGCACTCGTCGTTGGTGGATTATCCAACAATGCTCCAGTCAAGGTCGATCGATTCTACTACCCGGGAGCTTGCTGTGGGCTGAATTCTTTGGGTGGAATTCTTTACCGTGGGATTCATGACGCGCCTTGTGCGGCATCGTGAATTAGGATCACAACCATATGTAGTTCATTAAATAAATTAAGGATCTCTTCCACCTGCATAAGGTGTAAGAAACGTAGCAAATAACAACATAAACTGTAAACATATTTCATCTAAGGAAATTTTGGCGTTGTGAAAAAGTCGAGTAGTTTGAATGCTTCAAGCAAAAAAAATATTAAAAAAGAACAAGTTTTCAGTAGTCAGTTGCCAGATGAGAATCACACTGCCTAATTGGGAATCAAGTTGTGACCATATTACCCTAATTTATATTAACGCGAGGTTTTAGGAAGACATCTCAAGGAACTAGGTTACAAGAGTAATTCGAAGTCGCTATGATAAAGAATGAGCTTTCAATCGAGAAAATTTTAATCGCTAAAAATTCAATTGAAACTAAAGACTATTATCTTAAAAAGATAAAACGAGAGACTCTCATATTTACTGAGAAATCAAATACTTTAAAACATTTATTTTAGATTTCAATTATGATTGCATCTATTAATGAACAAACTTAGAGCCAATATGTATCCACTTAATCCAAAATTATATTAAAAAACAGTAGGTTATCCAAGCATCAATTTAGATGTTAATGTGTTCGATTAAAAGTATTCAGAATTGAGTAGTGAATGAATGAGAATGATATGCATACAGGTAAAATTTTTACGTGTGGTAATCGGATGTTCGGATGCTATTCAAAAGCGAAATATAACTCGCCACGCCACGTTTTACTGTGTGACAGATGACGTGACGCACCTTGATTCATCTCTGAATGATTCGATGACCGCACGCGATAATTTCTCATGCATATAATCCTTGTGACTAATCCCGCTAGTATAAACTCATTGTCACCTACTATTTACTATTGTTTCTTTTTATTGTTGAAGCTTCATAATTATTTATTTTGTTTAATTTATTGTTACATATTAGATACGATTATATGATTATTATATCAATTATTTTATTTTTAAATAAAATTATTTATTACAGCATCTAATTTAACTCCGATCAAATCATCAAAGCCTGGACTTAATTATTAAATCTTAAGTGGCTAAGAACTAAATAATAAAATTTAATCCAAACTAAGAGACCCAAGAGAGAATAAAAATATTCCCTTTAGTTTGGATCCAGACGAGCAATTAGTTGTATTAAAAGCCTTCAAAGTTAAATTACTACTTGATCACGTCTCTTCATTTGTCCCTTATCAATAATATATGAACCACTGAAAAACTCGGTCTAAGAAAAATCAATAATAATAAAGTAAGAATTATATTAAAGTTGAGAAGATAAAACAAAGTTCACCCACTTGCGTATTTAATTATACATCAAATCGAGAACACAAACAAGAGAAAGGCACAAAAATAACGCGATAATTGCAAAATATCGGGAAGGGTTTCTGAATCGGATCTGTTCACCAGCTGTGAAAGGAATCTGAGTTTCTCATCCTCCGCTACCGGCAGCGTCCCCCGATCCGCCACCACCAGGGCGAGGGCGAGGGTAATTAAGATTCATCTTCTCAAAGTAGCCTATGGAGAGAAGAGAGAGTGAAAGCAGAAGCTCGTCCTTTCCACAGCGGGCGGGCAGGCACGAGGGGCTGCGCGAGGCGGCAAGAAGCGGAAGCGGAAGGGCCGGTCGGGGTCGGCCGGCGCCGGCCGTGGGTCGAAGGAGAGGGAGGAGGTAGAGCGAGTGGTGTCGACGGAATCCGCCCAGCGCAAGCACCACCGAACGAAGCTGCTGGTTTCCACAGCCGATGCTGGCCCAGTGCCGGGTGCAGACTGCCTCCCAGAGCCGCTCGTCTTCTGCAAGAGATCGCCACCGCCGGCTCACGCAAGCCGAAGCTGCCAGCGACCTTGCGTCAGCCCTTTTGAGGATCTCGAAAACGAGGTCATCCCCTAGCTCCGGCGCTGCATCTTCCTTGGAAGGGGAAATAATCACTTCCCCTTCCTCTTGCTCGCCGCGGTCCAGTTTTGCTCTTTTTTCCTCGATCTCCGGCGGATCTCCGGCGTCCGATCCGTCTATCGGCCGCCGCTTCATCGACTTCTTACACGGTTGAGAAATGAAATTGCTCTCTGTTTCTCTCCTCTACCTTCGGACTACTCCTTTCTACAATGGTTTATTGGTCTTTAAGTAACAACAAGAGCCTGATCCTTAAGCCCTTTGTTGAATCCGTTCTGAAAAAAGACACGATAGAAGCAAAAAATTACGAGTTTGACCGGCTTTATGGCATTTTTCTTGGCGACAGTGGAAGGACTAATAGAAAGATAAAATCAGTTCGGCACTCGTCACGCCATTTGTTCTTTTATGAATTCTTAAATGACTAGAATATCCTTGGATTTTTGATTTTGTAGCTATCCACGCGGCCATTGATTGGTGCCGTGGGTAATTTTGCGGTTTTTTGCCATGAGAAATTATTTACTTTCCCATATATGTGAAAAATTGCCAGAATATTTTGGTAAATGCTAAATTAATTTTAAATTATTAAATTTATTTAAAAATGAGTGTAATATAAAATTTTATATATGTAATATTTTAGATATGTTTTGATTAAAATTATATCAAAATATTATTATATAATTTTCTCTCTATTTTTATCCACTTAAATATTTAATTAATTAGATTTGCAATTTTTTTTTTTAAATAGAGGACGTTCCCTTAAATTTAATTAGTTCAATTATTTCTAATTCTATAAAGAATAATTTTAATCTTATTTTTGAGCTATGAAAATTAAATATTGCAAGAAGTCAAAAATGTGAGAAAAGGGGACATAATGCAAAGTTAGATGGATGATTATAACATAAAGAATTTTGAGTTAAAAAAATTAGATAAAGATATTCTTATTAAATTTCTAATTAGGATAAATTTTATAAATTTATTTTAAAATTCATTCAAATTCATAAAAAATCAATATTATATTTTTCTTAAATCAAATAAAAATTCTAAAATTAAATGTGATCAAAGTTTAATCAAATTATTGAGATTAAAAATTTTCTTGTTAAATATATTAATTAATCGAATGTACTTAAAAAAGAAATTTAATTATAAAGTTACAACATTTCAAACTTGATGAGTTTATCTTCAACTAAAAATAGAAAAATAAATTACTATTTTAAAAATACTGATATTTAAAATTACGTTAAAACAATCAAATGAACCCTAATGTTTTCACATGTGAAAATTAGATTAATTTATAGCATTTAAAAAAAAGATTAATTTATAGCATTTTTTGTATTCGGAATAATTGAATTTAGCATTGCTTTAATACGGTTGTTGCATTAGTTGGACGCATGTGATTGCAGATGTTTGATGGATTACTTTTCGGTTATGGGTCCATAGGCACTTATTTTTTTAATAGAAGAATTCTAAACTCTTCTCCTTGTTGATTTCATACTAAAATGACTATGCATTCTTTAAGACGGCTTTCTTATTTATTTTCTTAAAAACTTTTTAATAAATAAAATTTAATTTAATTTTTTACTAAAAAGCAACTTTAAAATTCAATAAAAAAGTCATCAAAAACAAAATTTTAGTTGATTCAAAATAAATTCGCTAAATATGACACTTTCTTTTTTATTAATAAAATACTATGAATAACTAAATTAGTGAAATAATTTTGATAATGCACTATGTTATATATTATTATGGATTTGTTAAGGGTTTTTTAGGCATAGATCAAGGAAATTAAATAAACATTTTCAACAAGTAAATCACTTGCTATAGACACTATTGCAGGCTAGAATATACGCAGCGATAGAGTTGTAATTCTACGTCTTAGCATTACACAGATATCCATCTCAAACATAGAGAAGACAAGGCTTTTTTTCGTGGAACCATGGAAAAAGGGAAAAACCACGAGGCTTAGCCCAGTTGAAAAGATTTCACTAGAATTTGAGTTGAGTACAATGGGCTGATTCATCGTTGAGGGGGGTCATATTACAAATGTCAACCATATGGTTAAAGTTTAGTATTAAAATCTGGCGTCACTTGGAAGTTGGGGCATCAGTTAGTAGTCTGATAGTGACTTGGCAAAACTCTAGCGTCAGTTGATGGTCTGGCGGAGTTTAGGGCCTCAAGTAGTATCCGATGATGGCGAGGGACTCAAGTGGTGGTCTGGTGATGGCAAGGGCCTCAGGTGACGGTCTAGTGAAGGCGAGGGCCTCAGGTAGTGGTATAGTGAAGGCGAGGGCCTCAGGTGGTGGTCCGATGAACTCAAGCGGTGGTCGAGGAGGATCTTCTTCCTTCTCTTCCTTCTCTTCTCTTATTCTCTTCTTCACATTTTCTCTTCTTGCTGGGATCCCACTTCAAGAGAAATGAGGGGTCTAGTTATAGATTTCTAGAGTGGAAGGGCCCGTAAATAGGTGGGAGATCAAGGGTAAATGGGGAGTGGTTAGATGGATTGCCGATGTTGAATCCCTTGATCATGGACCGATTGATGACCATTTGAATGTTTTAGTGATGTCGGATTTTGGTGATATTGGGCTCATTGGATTTGTCTTGTCGAGTCGCTCGATTTGACTATAAGCACGTTATATTTGCAAACAGTTTGGTAGTCCAAATTGTGGTTCAAACCTTCCAACAGTGCTTCTAACTCTTGATTTGGACCCATTTAAGTTCGGATTGGGTTGAAATTGGTGTCGTTGGGTTCATATTCTCGAGTCGCTCAGTTAGACTATAAGTTTGCTGAAATCAAAGTTCAGATGCTATCAATTTTAATTTTGGAAGTTTCAAACTTGATTTTGCATCAAGATTCATGCCCGATCAAGATAAAGTTTTGATAACGTATCAGATGCCCCCTATTTCGGACGTCGTGGCTCCAGAAGTTCAAAAATATGCATTGTAGCATGTGGGAAATTTTTTGGGTAATTTGAAATTTGAGCGTAGTCCGATCATGGGCGTAGAGGTCTTGAATTGCTTTAAAAATATCAAAATTGTGTCCAGGACGTTGAAAAATGATTTTGGGGACCTCATAAACATCCCATTTGGCCTTTACATAGCCAAAATCTGACCCCAAAATGAAATGGGATGGAAATCCACCACTGGCCGCCGTTGCGCTGCCAGCCTCTACCATACAGTGCCGTGCCTGCAAGGTCGCCAGTGCAACTAGAGTCGCCGGCCCGCTAGGCTCGCGCCTGGCCCGACTCGCACACTGGCCCACACGCTCGTGCCTGGCCCGCATTGGCCCATCGACCGGCCCGCATGGCCGGCGCATGGTTAGCTGGTGGTTAGGTCAATTTTTTTTAAAGATATATCCTTTTTTTTTAACTTCCCTAACTCCTCCAACTTGCCCCTCACGCTTATAAATACTCCCCTTAGGGTATGAAAATTCACACCATCTCTTCTCCCTCCATTTTTTCAATTGAGGCATTCCCTTGACTCTATCCAAGCCCAAGGCCCCTCTCTGTGCAAGAAGGATCGGAGATCCCCCTTCTCCCCCTAATGCCCTTCATGTCTTCTTTCAATTGAGGTATTACCTTGGCCCTGTATGGGTGGTATCCCTCATCCAAGCTTAAGACGCCTCTCTTTGCAAGAAGGTGATCCTCACTTATTCAATTGCACGACCCCTCCTTACACAGGAGTAATGTCTGGTGACCTCCTTCCATCTAGAGATCCTATGATCAGGGGAGACCCTTTAGAGCGGAGGCTAAATAAGTAAGTGAGGGCAGATGAGATAGCGTCCACTATTACGAGTGACTTTCTAATCATTTTCTGAAAGAATTTTCATTTTTCGAATGATGTGCTGGCGACTGTCCCTAATAGGTTCGATCGGGTTGGACTTCCTCCTCCTGGGTATTTGACTGTTTCTGATACCAGTTTACGAGCGGGATTACGCTTTCCACCTCATGTGGAGCTGATCAAAATTTCATGGTTGTGAGGGGTGAGCTTATCCCAATTTTCATACAGATCCATGTCGGTGACTGTGGGGTTGATTTCACTATTTAGAGATCGAGAAGCTATTCTGACACTTGAGCACCTTTCATAGATAGGTCGACTCACCAGTGACATACATGGGTGTGTAAGATTTAGATCTAAATGGTTGAATTTGCATACCCATGATTCTTGAAAGAGCTGTGCCAACACATTTTTCTTTATGAAAAATGATTGGGGTCTGATTGAGAAGTGGGGGAAGATGGAGGATCTGCCAGCCCCTCTACATGTCGAGGAAGAATACATAATGAGGATCCTCAAAGTTTCATACATAAAACATCTTCTGTATAAGGTTCGTTCCATGAGTAGATATAAAGAGGAAGAATTCTTTATTTAAGGTCGGGTTGTCATTTCATGCTGGGAGGTCGGATGCAAGTATGTGGAAGCTATCTTCCAAGGTTCCCGAACCCCTGCCCCAGCTTCAAAGGTGGCTCCTATATGATCGGTGAGAGGCCCTCAAGTTTTGAAGAAGATGAAGTTAGAGGGGAATGCGATGACTACCGACAAGGATCTACCTAACTCTTCTCCTACCAAGTTTCACATCCTTGGGGATGTCTTGAACCATCAATGTGTCGGACGTCACAAAGCTAATGACTTGGTGAGTAATATCTTCATAATTCTTCTTCTCTTTTTCCTTTTAGGATGGCTTATAACATACTTTTCTCCTTTATTTAGGTTTTTGCATCTTGGGATCGATCTTATTGAAACTTTGAATGAATGGAACAATGAATTTTTGAAGATTAAATATCTTTAAGGAGAGTTCAAGTGAAAGTACGACCATAAGATAAAGGAGACAAAAGTGCTAGAAGAGGAGTTGTGCAAGTGCTGAACTGAATTAGCAAACATAATAAACTCAGTTTCTCTTCAAAATCAGCAGACATATTGGCTTCAAATTGATCTGATGAAGGCACAAGAAAAGATTACCCACCTTTTGAAGGATCAAAAGGTCTTCGAAGAGAAGATAACATCACTTAATGTAAAAAATAAGAGGTCTCATACTCTTATAGCTTAAAAGGAGGATGCTTTATCTAGGTCATAACCTTCAAGAGTTATTGAAGATTTTAAGAAGTTAATAACTTTCAAGATCATAATCCAAGATCACATTCAGGAGGCTCGAGATTATATCTATGATGTAGAAGTGAAGGTCTTGAAGCAGTAGTGTATTGATGATGGATTCATTTAGGGATTTTTGAAGGGAGCTTGTT